GATGTACGGTGTTCCAATGCAAAAAACATATGAACAGCTTTATCTGAATTCATCGAATAAAATCATTATATGAAAATCTCAATTTTCTTTCTTCGGAACCTCGAAAATCGGACCCTAAATAAAGTTCTATTTGTTTCCCAGTCTTCAACAAGTAACCTATCTGGTCTCTTCACTCACACCATTTACTCCATTTTCTCGTCATCTTCGATGACGTCATCGACATCAAATGTGTGCACAGGTCCTTCATATCCTGAATGTCTTCCTTCTCCATCTAAACTAGCAATGTAAGTGTAGTTGCCATACCTTATCAACAAAAAGAATACCTCTGCTAGTGTGCTGGTTATCCTCTCTGAGATGGCATAGCACCTCCCATCATCTCCCTGGCCACGCGAAGTAGGCAATCCCTTGCTTTTTCTAGTGAGACTTCGACCTCTTGCGCCGAATAAAAAACGTTTTTGCAAGAAGATCCCTTAACATAATCACTCATCTTCACTAACTTCATCAAGTGAACGCCATTCAACCGAGAACATCACTCACTCTTTTTGTGACGGGGGTTGGCTCGGCTTGATAGGAACAGGAAAATGGTCCCGGGTGATTCGCCAACACTTTATCAAACGGCAACATTTTCTGGAAAAGAATCTCTCACAAAAGAATAGTAATAAGATGCAAACCCCAATGGAGACATTATTAGGTTGTCCCAAAAGTTCTGGGACACTTTCAAACTTTTTTTCGAATTAAGTTTATTCCAGTGGGAAGCAATTTTGATCAGCTATACAGGGGGGGGGCAAAAAAAAGTCATTCCGGCCGAGTCACATATGAGCGAAGTTTTCGCAGCCCAGACAGAGGAAGTGGATATGAGTACCAGGGCGGAAGATACCCAAGATCTTCCTCTATAAGCAGGAGCCGGCTGCCGCCATTCACCTTCATGTACACCAAAATATGAAGTCATCTCCAGTCGCGGCCTGAGTGGAGAACGCCTTTGGAATTCACGTGGCCTCCAAACAGCTGCGGAACTTCTTGAATGGAATCACCCATGGATAGCTACCTGGAGACCAGTACTCTTGATCTGCAAGACCTCAAACATCGAGCAGCTCCGGCAACGTCGCTACGGTCCAGGACATCATCTTCACCCCATTCACCAAGGCGCGGGTTGATGGTGTGGACCGGCCGTACCTGGAATGGGAAGACCGATATTTTCTTTGTAGACCCCGACTGAAGGTGAGCGCTGGCGGTTACATCAAGTAACTCGAGAAGGATATCCTCCCTACATGTGGTCGCCCGTACCTTCTTGGAGACCTTGTGCTGCTACAGGTTTGGGTGCCACCACATGGAATCGAAGGGTTTTGGAAAAACTCCCGCCTACTTCGAATGGAAGGGCGTTTCGTACCTGATGAAGATGTAATATTGAAATATGTCCCCTGACCTGAACCCACTCAATTACCTAGTTCGGGCGGAGCTCAACAGGGTGGTCTACAGTGGCGGAGAAATCAACGATCTCGCTCAACTCCGGTACCCACTCACTTTCGCGCGGCCGAATCTCTCGATGGCGCTCCTCCAGAAGGCTGTGGCGGAGTATCATTATAGTATTTAATGTGCTCTTTAATATGGTAGTAAAAATGTCCGATAAAAATTTAATAAAGTGTAACTTATAGCGCCTTGAAAGTCATGGAGGCAAAATGACTTTTTTTTGGCCCCCCCTGTATATGTCACCTTCATTGGCAACTTGTTGCCAATCACTACGCAATGTGTGGTTGCCCTGCTTCCAGAAGCCTCCTAGTTCTGTGGCCAGAAAGGGTTGACTAATTCCCACTATATGTTGACTCCGAGAATAAAAAAGAAAAAATTCACAACAGTGACAAGACTTTCCAACCTGCTGTTGGTGAGGGCAGTTTAAGCATTCGCCAGTGTCTCCTCATCCCCTAAACAAGACTTAGACCTGCCATTGGTGGCGACTACTATGTCGACGACTCTGGTCATCTGCGCTCTAAACCTAGTCCTCTTTTATAAAGGGATACGAAGGTGCGGTCAAAAGGTCCCCGCCCCTGGCGGCTACGTAGACGCCCACTTCTTTCTTCACCTGAGCGGCTTGTTTTTTGCTACCATGTGTTCCTGAAAATGCTTCTGTCTCGCACTGCTCCAAGTTCGGTCGCAGGACCTCTTCAGCCTTCTCAATTCTAGGCCCTCGCTGCTGGAATTTGACGGTGCCTAACTCTGGCGACCGCGGTGCAGGTCGTCACTTTCGCGTGGCTGCGACAGGTGAAACCTATCGGCTTTCTGGCCACTAGACCCGACTTAGTGTAGAACTTATGTTAAGACGTTTAAAAAATTAGGGGCCCAGTTTGGCGACAGGGAGGGACATTTCGCACTTTCTTGCTTCACTGGCTCCGGTTTACAAGTCTTACTCTGGTGAAACCTGTGAGTTGTGAAGCTGGAGCATCATAAGAATTCACAGGTCCATCACCATCATAGGAATTCTGGAGTCATCATGTAATAATCTGTCTACTCTTGAAAGCTTATGGAGTAGCTCTTGAGATGGGTCGAAACGTCCCGAGAAGTTCCACATGTACAAATTTCCCCCCTCCCCCCCCCCGGTCGGCCAACTGCCCCTCAATAAGGTGCACGAGCACCCGGCGTCGTCGCAACTTGGATGTCCTGATATACACCTGGCAACTAGATAGATGGGAATTAACCTTGGAATCGACAAGTTAACATGCCTTCTCAGGGATCTGAGTATGCTTGCAGCCGTATCTGCGTAACGGTTATTGGCCCGATGCCAATGGGAAGCCCGTCCAAATTTGCTTTCTTAGTCGTGTACAATAAAGCTTTTTTTTTACAAATTTTCGACCGTTTCATTTCCCTTTTTCGCTCTTTTCCCCACTGTATGGCACCCTTGCTTCAGACCAAATACCAAATTATCGTGCCTATGCCTCCAAGATCAGCGTCACGTTGTTTGTTTGAAAAGCAAGGAATGTGATGGGAGTTCACGCGTCAGATGCACACAGAAGGCCTCTTGGAGTGCGTTCATACTCAACAATATCCTCGTCATACTTAGCCACTACAGTGCTCCACCTAATGGGCAGGTGGCATTCCCCTCTCCAGAACTGAGGAGGCTGCGAGTAGAGTAAGTAGGCAGCCTCTCGACTGATATCATCGAAGTTGCTGAAAGTTTTCTTCGCTAAGAAAGCCTTATGGAGGTGAAGCAGGGCTCCAACCGCGTTGTGGCTTGGTAGCGATTCATATAGCGAAGTGTGTCGAAAATGATGAATTTCAATTACCGTTTTTCATATGAGAACAGCGACTGCGAGGGACGGTGAAGAAGCTGTGGAATGCTTACCTCACACACTTCCCATAGACCACATAACTGGATCTCGAAATGGCTGCGGAAAAATCTGATACGAGATTCAAAAAAAATGTCGGACAACCTAATACTTATGCCATCATTACCCAGATGAACTTTAATTACCCTATCTGCGCTTACGCCGTAAAAAAGAAGCCCTTTGTCATCGTAATTCAATGCTGGACAGCAATAAATGAGCAGAAGTGGGTATTTGGCAAAAGAATCGTATTTCGATGCGCAGTGGGCGTCGCGTGAGCGCATCGAAATACGATGGGGGGGGGGGCGGGGGCGGGGTGGGGACAACACAGAAAACACGTGGAACGGGGAGAACCACGAAGAGTCAACAACCGATAACATTCTTCTCAGAGGCCGATACGACCCCTCCCCCCCCCCCTTTATCCAAGGTCCAAACACGACCCCCTGCTGGGAATCACAACCGACGTGCCCTGTTTGAAATGATACAGTTACAACGTACTGCGATTCTATATCGCATAAGGACCGAAATTGCTCAAAGATGCTGGAAACGCTCAATCTCTTCTAGCCGCGTGTCTTTCCATGCTTCTATAGAAAGCGGTCGTCATTATGTAGCCGGTGGATTAAATGCATACGATCATTCATCCTCTCTTCGTCGCACTCTAGGGGTATCGATGCGTCACTTATTGCGTTATCGTGAGAGCAAGCGTCAGAAAAACCCACTACTTGGAAACACCTCCTTTTTGACTGACTGTGACAATGTCGACGATACTTCTGCTAGGAGACGGGCAAGAGAATCGTAAGCTGCCGGTTCGTCGCGCGCGACAATGGGTGTGATATTTCCTTAATTTGCATTACACTTTCGAATGGAGCATCGAATCGCAACCTGCTACCTTTTTGGAATGTTCATGGTTATCCATCAGGTCTTGCAGCTGGGGAAAATTTCTGCAACGATATGACCCCCCCTCCCTCCTTCCCCTCGCTTTCCACCCACCATACCTTTCTATTACTGGTTGTTTTCTTTCTGGTTTGCTCAGTAACTTGGGGCAGACACATCACGCCCCTCCTGGCACCGCCCCGCCTGACTGCGACGATATCAACTATAATTCAATATCAGTATTTGGTCGCCCAAGCCCCTTAGCGTTTTGACAGTGTCACGTCATCTCTTCTGGATTCTGGGTCATTGGACAAAAACATATCGATAAAATATTAAGGACCAACAGAATCTCTAATCTTAGCTACTTTTCGGGCCTCCACCCCGTATCCACTGGAAATTCGAGCGAACATTAGGTTCGTCAGTGAGGCCTTGTTAGTCCTGGAGGGCGTTTTCATTTTCTGAGACAAGTATGCACCATGCCATTTCTCGCGGAGGGCCAATCAAGTCATAGAGAAAGCAGGGCACATTACTGGTTGGGGATTTCAGTCGAGTCTCTGCCTCTCTGTCCCTCCTCATCGAATTGAGCCGCTGAGCGGGGGGGGGGGCGTCAAATTAAATGTTTCCAGCCCAAATACGACTCCGCCTCTCCTGGCGGCCAAATACGCCCCTCCCCCCTGTTGGGGATCTAACAACGATGTGCCCTGAGGAAGGGCGCGGTGTAGTGCTGGTCTCGTGGGGGCAAATGGGAGCATTAGCTCATATAATGAGCCTTGTTTGAAGTCAAAGGGATATTTTCATTCTTCGAGATAAATATGAAAACGCCGTTTCCTGCAAGAGGTCAAAAGCCATGGACGAGAGGTGGGGTGCAGGACTGGTCCTGTGGGGTAACCCGCCGACCAGCATGACCTATGCTAGAGCAATCTTCGAGTAATCCGCTACATAATCAGGGTGAAAACGAGGAGTCGTCTCGGCGAGAGCGGCACTGCAAACAGCATTGCTTGACATTCGCACCAGAACTTATTTGATACAGGCAAGACAATCGCAGTAAGTTGATATCAAGATAGCATTTCAGTTGTTTTTCAATAACAATTTCAATACAAACAATATCAATTAAAAAAAAGAAAAAGAATTAGAAGGAAACCCACCTCACTGAGGGAGTCCGCAGTCCGCTTTGGGACTGTGAGCTATTGTGAAATCACATGACACCCCCCCTCGAGATGACAACAACCCCTCCGTGGTTACTGTAAGTGCAGATCTGCAGTCCTCTAGTCGATAACCCACACAAATAGGGGTTATCGACTAGAGGACCACAAATTTTGCCAGTGTTAACAAAATATTAGGTTGTCCGGAAAGTTCTCAGCGTTTTGTGCACCTATTTTGTACATTCACTGCTGATTAAAAACTCATTCTGCCTTGCTTCTCAGTAGCACATCCTGTAGAGAATTTCTTGCGCTATCTGATGGTATAATTGCCGTCCATTGCTTGATAAACCCCCTTTTTTCAAGATTTTTTCAAGCATGTGAAAAGAGCACTTCGGACGATTTTTTTCTTCGACTATAAATTGGGCAATCCGCAATCGAAACAGCTCAACAAATTAACCAGGTGTGGGGGCCCAATAGTGCTAGAGAAAGCACTGTGCGGCAATGGCTCAACAAATTTCGTTCTGGAGATTTCAGCCTTGAAGGTGAACCTCATAGCGGTCGACCTAAAGCAATATCTGACGAGGATTTTAGGGGGATTTTGGAGGCTGACCCATCCCAAACAGTTCGAGAGATAGCAGAAGAGCTAGGCCTTGGCAAATCCACTGTTGCAGATGGTCTGGAACGCATTGGGAAGGTGAAAAAACTCGACAATTGGGTGCCCCACAATCGGAGTGACCGGCAGGAATCGGCACGTCTCGAGGTTCCTTCTGCATTGCTTTTGCGCAGCAGAAACGACCTGTTTTTGGGCCGAATTGTCACCTGTGATGAAAAATGGGTCATGTATGATAACAGGAGACGTTCCGGACAGTGGTTGGATTTCGACGAACCACCGAGGTAATTTTCAAAGCCGAACCCTCACGAAAAAAGATTCTGGTCACGGCTTGGTGGTCATCGGCTGGTGTGATCCACTATAACTTTTTATCACCAGGCCAAACCATCACAGCAGAACCCTACTGTGAAGAAATCGACGAATTGTACCGAAAATTTTGTCAGATGCAGCCAACACTTATCAAAAGAAAGGGTCCGATTCTTTTGCATGACAACGCCCGCCCACACGTTTCACAAATCACTATCCATAAATTGAACGAATTGGGGGTTGAAGTTCTACCTCAACCGCCATATTCTTCAGACCTTTCGCCAACCGACTATCACCTTTTCAAACATTTTCAGAACTTCCTTGCTGGAAAATACTTCATCAATTAGGACCAGGCAAAAAAGACCTTCGTGGATTTCGTGGATTCTCGACCACCCAGTTTTTTCTTTGATGGGATTTCTCGACTGCTGTCACATTGGCAAAAGTGTGCTGATTCGAATGGTGCCTATTTCGATTAAATCCGATGAGTATTAAAAAAGTTACGATCGTTTAAAGTGAAACACCCAAAACGCTGAGAACTTTCCGGACAACCTAATAATGCCAGTGTTGGCAATACATCGCCAACTTACCTTGAAAGAAGGTAAGTCAACTGGCAACATGTTGCCAACACTGGCAGTATGTTGTTAACACTCTCACAGTATGAGACGGCATCACGGATCGCGTTCTCAAGGGATACGTTCAGAACTCCACAAGTTTCCTCGTAGATCAGACCTGAGCTTCACACCACCTCGGCGAGTAAGACAACGGATGGCTGGCTTGGTGATGCCTTGGATATTGTCGCGAAGAACTTTGCGATGGCGCCTAGCACCCCCTTTGCCGAGTCCCTTGCCTCCTTTTCCACGTCCGGACATTGTTGCGTTGATAGCGGTTGCACTCGCGAACAAGATGCTGCTGACCCAAGCGCCTCCCTTATATACACTCCACTTGGGTATCCACGCGGGGCCCCCAAAAATGGATCAACGATCGCATCACTCCTACTCCCATTTACTGCTTCTACTGCCCCCTATTCAAAAAGCCACCCTTTTCAACTCATTTGCACATTCGCACTGAACACTTCTATAGAATTGAAATACACACATACAACAGTTTATAGCACACATTTATTCAACACAATATTTCTCGTATGTATTCGTTTTTTCGACATTTGTGGCCCTAAAGAGGGCCGTAGGGTTAGATTGAGATCCAATCGCGAAGCGCTCGAACTTAAGCACGTTCACCACGGATACGGCGAGAAAGCTGGATGTCCTTGGGCATGATGGTGACACGCTTGGCGTGGATAGCGCACAAGTTGGTATCTTCGAATGAGACCGACGAGGTATGCCTCCGAGGCCTCTTGGAGAGCCATCACAGCCGACGATTGGAAACGCAGATCGGTCTTGAAATCCTGAGCGATTTCACGGACCAGGCGCTGGAACGGCAATTTGCGGATGAGCAGCTCGGTCGACTTCTGGTAACGACGGATTCTCACGAAGAGCGACTTTACCTGGACGGTAACGATGAACTTCTTTACACCACCGGTAACCGTGCTGACTTGCTAGCACCTTGATAGCCAGCTGCTTTCGTGGGGCCTTACCATCAGTAGATTTACGAGCTGTTTGCTTGGTACGAACCATTGATGCTGAGTGTTTGGAGCGAACGGTAAGCGCTATTGAAATCCTGAGCGATTTCACGGACCGGGAGCTGGAACGGTAATTTGCGAATGAGCAGCTCGGTCGACTTCTGATAACGACGGATCTCACGAAGAGCGACTTTACCTGGACGGTAACGATGAACTTCTTTACACCACCGGTAACCGGTGCTGACTTGCTAGCAGCCTTGATAGCCAGCTGCTTTCGTGGGGCCTTGCCACCAGTAGATTTACGAGCGGTTTGCTTGGTACGAACCATTGACGCTGATGCTGAGTGTTCGGAGCGAACGGTAAGCGAACCGGTGCCTATCGCCTTTTATACGCTTTTCGCGTGAGAGGGCGGAGCCTATTCATAGGTGACCCTTGCTGTGCTTACCCCTCATCTTTCTTTTAGTGACATGGTTGCAAAAATCCTGTAGAGAATCCTGTAGAGAATTTCTTGCGCTATCTGATGGTATAATTGCCGTTTCACCATTGCTTGATAAACCCCCTTTTTTCAAGATTTTTTCAAGCATGTGAAAGAGACTTCGGACGATTTTTTCTTCGACTATAAATTGGGGCAATCCGCAATCGAAACAGCTCAACAAATTAACCAGGTGTGGGGGCCCAATAGTGCTAGAGAAAGCACTGTGCGGCAATGGCTCAACAAATTTCGTTCTGGAGATTTCAGCCTTGAAGATGAACCTCATAGCGGTCGACCTAAAGCAATATCTGACGAGGATTTTAGGGGGATTTTGGAGGCTGACCCATCCCAAACAGTTCGAGAGATAGCAGAAGAGCTAGGCCTTGGCAAATCCACTGTTGCAGATGGTCTGGAACGCATTGGGAAGGTGAAAAAACTCGACAATTGGGTGCCCCACAATCGGAGTGACCGGCAGGAATCGGCACGTCTCGAGGTTCCTTCTGCATTGCTTTTGCGCAGCAGAAACGACCTGTTTTTGGGCCGAATTGTCACCTGTGATGAAAAATGGGTCATGTATGATAACAGGAGACGTTCCGGACAGTGGTTGGATTTCGACGAACCACCGAGGTAATTTTCAAAGCCGAACCCTCACGAAAAAAAGATTCTGGTCACGGTTTGGTGGTCATCGGCTGGTGTGATCCACTATAACTTTTTATCACCAGGCCAAACCATCACAGCAGAACCCTACTGTGAAGAAATCGACGAATTGTACCGAAAATTTTGTCAGATGCAGCCAACACTTATCAAAAGAAAGGGTCCGATTCTTTGCATGACAACGCCCGCCCACACGTTTCACAAATCACTATCCATAAATTGAACGAATTGGGGGTTGAAGTTCTACCTCAACCGCCATATTCTTCAGACCTTTCGCCAACCGACTATCACCTTTTCTAACATTTTCAGAACTCCCTTGCTGGAAAATACTTCATCAATCAGGACCAGGCAAAAAAGCCTTAGTGGATTTCGTGAATTTTCGACCACCCAGTTTTTTACTTTGATGGGATTTCTCGACTGCTGTCACATTGGCAAAAGTGTGCTGATTCGAATGGTGCCTATTTCGATTAAATCCGATGAGTATTAAAAAAGTTACGATCGTTTAAAGTGAAACACCCAAAACGCTGAGAACTTTCCGGACAACCTAATATAAGTAAGCGCGCGCTAGCCGGTGCTGATTTGCTAGCAGCTTTGATAGCCAACTGCTTTCGTGGGGCCTTGCCACCAGTAGATTTACGAGCGGTTTGCTTGGTACGAACCATTGATGCTGAGCGTTTGGAGCGAACGGTAAGCGCTATTGAAATCCTGAGCGATTTCACGGACCGGGCGCTGGAACGGTAATTTGCGGATGAGCAGCTCGGTCGACTTCTGATAACGACGGATTTCACGAAGAGCGACTTTACCTGGACAGTAAGATGAACTTCTTTACACCACCGGTAACCGTGCTGATTTGCTAGCAGCCTTGATAGCCAGCTGCTTTCGTGGGGCCTTGCCACCAGTAGATTTACGAGCGGTTTGCTTGGTACGAACCATTGATGCTGATGCTGAGTGTTGGGAGCGAACGGTAAGCGAACCGGCGCCTATCGCCTTTTATACGCTCTTCGCGTGAGAGGGCAGAGCCTATTCATCGGTGACCATTGCTGTGCTTACCCTCATCTTTCTTTTGGTAGCATGGTGCCAGAAATCCTACGCACGG